ACGCAAGCTCTTCGAGCCAGCAGCATAACCGCCGCATGCAACGACGTGGAACGGCAAGTGGGCTGACGACAACCGGCCCACCTCGAGCAAAGGCAAGCTGTATGCACACCTGTTCGACCAGGCGTTCGGGACCATCGCAGAGCGTTCGCCGCGCTCCTTCCAAGGCCTGTGCGCGTTTGCCTTTGAGCCAAATATCGCACACACGGCAAGGCTCAGAAGCCTGGAGGCGTGCTACGCCAGCCGTGGCTGGCGCGTGAAGGTGTTCACGCAGACGGCCGTCTCCTCTGCCGACGGCGCAACGACCTTCTACAGGGACAGCGGGGGCACGCCTCTTGCAGAGTCCGATGAGGCTCTGGCTGCTCGAAGGGCGGTCGACTTGAACGGGAGGCGAAAGTGGTCTGCCGAGCGCTCGAGCTCAATCTACCGCTTTCCTCACCGAAAGAAGCTCGAGGAGCAAGGCTACCCAGTGACGACGGTCGACCTCGCGGCATGGGTGGCGAAGCACGTCGTCCAGCGAAGGGTGTCACAGGGGCACAGGCCGGCTTACGTGCTCGCCAAGATCGATGTGGAAGGCGCTGAATTCGAGGTCATGCCCAAGCTCCTGGCGGCCGGCTTGCTGTGTGCCGACGCCATCTCCACCATCACCATGGAGTGGCATCCCGGCTTCCTCTCGTTGATGGGAGCACGCGAGCGCGGATTGCGCCATCTGCCGACAGCCGCCGAGGGCGGGCAGCTCATGCAGCGAGTGAGCAGCGCCAGAGCATCCGTGCCTACCGCAGCAGGAAGCACGTGCTCTCGCAAGACGACGTTCGAGAGCGTTGATGACGAGACGTACCTGCTCGACTCGAAGTGCTCCTTGCGCCTCCACGAAGAGCCTTCGCGTGTGTGCAGCGCGCCAGCCGATAAAGAGTGTGCGCACATGTATCCAAGTGCCGATGGCCCTGCTGCTTGAACCGTCACTGTTTGCGTCGGACTCCTTCTTCTAAATGTCGAAACCGGCCAACCTTCGCTAATGTCATCAAATGCCCGCCCGCACACGCTCCCGCAAGGTCGCTGCACCGCCACCGGTTAAAGAGTCCCCTTCTTGGGTGGGGGCCTCGGAGCCGCTCTGTCACGTATGGTACCGTGCATGCTTAAATGCGTCCAAGGCGCAAGGGCGTGTTGTGGGGCCTCAAGCGCAGCGTTCATCACTGAATTTCGGCTGTGTGCGTGTCCTGATCACTGCCCCGAACTGCCCCTGGGCTCGAGTGTGGTCGCCCAGCTCCACTCAAGATATTCACCCTCCCACTTTCAACATCATGACCAGGGCACGCCGTACACCTGGGTGCTTAGCGTCTGGGGGGGCGACCCCCCCATCTTTGTTTACCAAATGCGTCTCTGGATTAGAGTGCGTCTAGTAGGCCTCCTACTTAGACGCTCGCTGTCCTCGGTATGCTCGAGCATCCTAAGATGCGCGAGTCCATATTAGTTGCTCCGCGCATCCCGAATTGCTCGCGGCATCTCCGATTGGCGTTGCTGTCTCAAAAGACGCGCCGTGCATACTGTGAACAGCGCGTGTCTCAGAAGACGCGCGCATATTTTGAACAGCGTGTGGATCTCAAGAAATAACTCACGTATAAAAAGAAAACGACGGCAGCGGCGGGCCGTGCCCCCGGCTGTGCGCCGCGGCCGCTGCACTACTACTCGCACACCCGCGGCCCGCCCACCCGAGCACCGTGGGTGGGCGCCCTATAGCCTCTCCGCGCAACGTGTGCTGGGGCACGGACAGCGGCTCTCACGTCTGGCAGCGGCAGCAGGCCCACCGCTGCACCGACTCACACTGAACAGCACGCACAGGACAGTCACAGAACACTGCCCCTGACGCCACTCACGGCCACGGGCTACTCAGACTTAATCACAGGCACCTCGCTTAGCACTCCGTGCACGCGGCTGCCGGTTGCCGTTGCCAGCGCCGCTTCCTGCCCAGATCAAACACCTGCGACGAGGCGGAGGCGATGAGCGGCCCACGGTCGCCGTGAGAGCGCGTGGCGGGCGACGGCTCACCGATCGAGCGGAAGCGGTCGCGCTGCTCGAGAGTGGGGGCGGCGGCGAGGCGGGCAAGCCACCCGCAGATCCCCAGAAGGACGCCGTCGCGAGGTCGAGGGCGGGCGGCGGGGGCGGCGAGGGCGAGGCGCGAGGCGCGAGGCGGTGTTGGCGGCGGCGGTGGCGCGGGCGGCGGCGGTCACGGAACGGGGGCGAGAGGGTGACGGCGAGCAAGACACCCGCGCGCGCTGCGCGGTCGCCGTTCTGACTCACATGCCTGCGGACAGCGCCGACGGGTGGTGAGGAGGGCGGCGAGCCGGCGGGCACGGTGTGCGCGCGGTCGCCGCGCGCTGGTGGGCGACAGCTCACCGAGCGAGGAGCGAGGAGCGGAGGCGGAGCAGAGCTCGGGATGCCCGGTCCCTCAAACGCCAAGTCAAGCAAGAAAAACGATCTGACAATGCTTTCTGGCGGTGAACTTCTTTTCTAGACCGCTAGGATTGAGAGCAGCCTCGCTCTCAATCCTAGAAGTCGAAGGATTGTGAGCAGCACTCCTCGCAATCGTAGCATCTCTGTGCGACTGTGAGCACCCTCGCTCGCAATCCTACGTCTTCCCGGACTAAGAGCAGCTCCGCTCCCAAGGTGACTGGTGACGCCTACGACTACTACCAGCGCGCTCACAATCCGAGCAAAGTCTAGGATTGCGAGCAGTTGGCTCACAATCCTAGCAACATGCCTCCGGTTGCGAGCAGGAGCGCTCGCAATCCTAGAACTTTCGCCGATTGCGAGCGACACCGCCCACAGTCCTACGACTTCTAGGATTGCGAGCGGGTCCCCTCGCAATCGGTGCGATCACTGTTTGGATTGTGAGGAGACCCTCCCGGCGCGCTCACTCACAAGCGCTCGCGGCTGGAGCGATTGGGAGCGCCCTCTGTGCGACGCTAGCAATCCTTGGATCTTGGGTACGATTGTGAGCGCCGCCGCTCATAGTCCTACAAGATGTAGGATTGCGAGCGCTACTGCTCGCAATCGGAGGCATGTTGCTAGGATTGTGAGCAAAGCTGCTCGCAATCCTAGACTTTGTTCGGATTGCGAGCGCGCTGGTAGTAGTCGTAGGCGTCACCAGTCACCTTGGGAGCGGAGCTGCTCTTAGTCCTAGAAGATGTAGGATTGCGAGCGTGGGTGGCGTGCTCACAGTCGCACAGAGATGCTCCGATTGAGAGGAGTGCTGCTCACAATCCTTCGACTTCTAGGATTGAGAGCGAGGCTGCTCTCAATCCTAGCGGTCTAGAAAAGAAGGTTCACCCTTTCTGGCCGACTCTCGGAAGTACGCTGTCTTCCGTGTCTAGGCGCACGCCCACGCCCTCAGCCTCGAACTGGCCCCGCTACCTGCCGCGCAAACTGGTTGGTGGGGGGAGGCGGCGTCGCCGTCGGATCGTCGTAAGCAGTGGCCAGTGCATGCAACTTTGCGTGCGCCCAGAGCTCGTGGCGCGAGCAGATGCATGCGCGGTGCTGAGAACCTGGTTCTCCAGGAGGGGCAGGCCGCGAGGAGAGACCTCACGCGAGCACTCAAGGCAGGGCCCCCAGGGGAGGGTGCCGAGAGATCACACCGCCTTTTCGTGCTCCCTGGTGGCCAGCCTGGTCCCCCCTCGGTGCCCGGTGCACCCGACACACGGTGTCTCCTGAGACGCTTCCCTGTCCAAGTATAGTAAAATGTGATCTAGTATGCAAGTGCCATCTCAGAACAGCTGTGCATCTATAGATGCTTGTGGCGTCTAAGATGGAACGCGTAACAAAAGACACGGCGCGGCTATCTCCAGGACAGCCGTCGCATCCTAGAATGCCCTGTGTACCCGAGACACATGGTATCTTTGAGATGAAAAGTGCGTCCTAGAATGCGTTTTTGCATTCTAGGACGCATCGGTAAACAAAGATGGGGGGGTCGCCCCCCCAGACGTAGAGCGGCCGCACACTGCTCGGTACCCCCCCTGCACACCTAAGCCCATGGCCGACCCCCCCCCCCAGCAGCAGCGCTCTGCTGCTGGGGGGGTCGGGACCCCCCCCCAGCAGCAGCGCTCTGCTGCTGGGGGGGTCGGGACCCCCCCCCCCCCCAGCAGCAGCGCTCTGCCTGTGGGGGGTGCTGGCATCTCTGTACAGACAGCAGCTGTAAGTAGCATGCGTTCGAGTTGCGAGAATTTATGGTCCGCATCAAAATCAGTGGTCTCACCGGCGGGGCCTCCTACTGCCAACCGGGCGGTGCGGGGCACGCCAGCCTCTCTTCTACGCCTCTCGTGCCTCGCGGCGCCTCTGCTTCAAGGAGGGAAGATACGGCTCTCGCAGCCCATCATACGCCGTGGCACAGCGGAGAGCACAGCGGGCTGTACAAGTCCATCGGATAGTGCTCAATATCTTCGCATGCTCGTCGTTGGTGATATCCGCGCGAGGTCATACGCCACAGGCCAGCAATCACTCGATGAATGAGAATATTGATGACATGTAGGCGCGACGCTCTGACACCGAGTGTTGTGTGGTAGTACAAGATAGACTCACCATGGTCACAAGTCTTTAGTAAAACGCCAGCACTCGACACGACGAAGGTGTACTGGGCTCGAAGGCGCGGTGAACACAACCGCCTCGAGCGTACCGCTCAAACTACACGAGCCGAGGGGGCGGGAGGGGGAGCGGCCGGAGGCGGGAGCTGGGTCCAGTGCGCTCTGCTGCTGGGGGGGTCGGGACCCCCCCCCCAGCAGCAGCGCTCTGCTGCTGGGGGGGTCAGACCCCCCCCCCTAGGCCCTAGCAGCAAGCAGGGACGGGCTTAGAAGTGCAGGGGGGGTACCGAGCAATGTGCGGCCGCTCTTAGCCCACTCTTCTGTTTGCCCTTGCTCACTCCGTTTCCGTGCAGTGCTTTCATGAGCGCGTTCCACTCGGTGATGGGTATGTGCCACGTAGGAACGGAAATTCTTTTTTCTCATCGGCTGCGGCGCGGGTAGGCCCAGAGCACCTCTCTCCTCACCAGCAATGGTCAAGCAGCCGGATAGCGACCTCGCCCAGCAGTCGGTGCTCCAGGCCGTCGTCCTCGCCGATTCCTTCGCGCAGGTCCACGGCCTGCGTCGCTCGCCCTCGGAGAGCTCCCGCAGCTGGACCTCTGATCGACAGTGCCGACGCCTCCTCCTCGCCGCAGGCCTTTCGGCCTGTCTCGTACCAGGTCCCAAAGGCGCTGATGCCGCTGGTGAACGTGCCGATGATCGAGTACACGCTCGAGTTCCTGGCGGCGTCGGGCGTGCAGGAGATTTTTGTGTTTTGCTGCGCGCACGCCGAGCAGGTCATCTCGTATGTGCGCGATTCGCAGGCGCCGCCGCACGCCGCCCAATTTTTTCCCCGCGCTTGCGCCCGACCCCGCTCCTCGCCCCGCCCGCAGCTCGAGCTCCGCCTCGCCTCCGTCCGGCTGCACGTCCTCGCGGCAAAGTCGCCCTGCTTCTCGGCCGGAGACGCCCTCCGCGAGGCGCGGCTTCCGCCTACCGCACACGCCGCCGCCCTCGCCCCGCCGCCGCCGTCCGCGGCCCCTTCCACCGCGTCTCCGGCGCGCGCAGGTGGAGGCGCTCGGCGTCATCACCTCCGACTTCGTGCTCTGCCATGCCGACGTCGTCTCAAACCTCGAGCTCGGCTCTGTGATTGCGGCGCACAAGGCGCGGCGCGAGCTCGACCGCGACATATCTCCCCATATCTCCCCATATCTCCCCATATCTCCCCATGTCTCACAAGGCGCGGCGCGAGTCCGACCGCGACATATCTCCCCATATCTCCCCATATCTCCCCATATCTCCCCATATCTCACAAGGCGCGGCGCGAGTCCGACCGCGACGCGGTGATGACGACGGTGCTGCGACGGGTGCCGGCGGGCAGCCGCTCGCACCGCGCCGAGGACGCCACCCTCGTCGCCACGAGCGGAGAGACGGGGCGGCTGCTCCTGTACGAGCAGGCTGGCAAGTCTGTGAGTGATCACAAGCTCCTCCTGCCGACCGAGCTGCTGCAGGCGCACACCCGCACACCCGCACACCCGCACACCCGCGCACCCGCACACCCGCACACCCGCACACCCGCACACCCGCACACCCGCACATCCGCACACCCGCACACCCGCACACCCGCACACCCGCACACCCGCACACCCGCGCCGCACACCCGCACACCCGCACACCCGCACACCCGCACACCCGCACACCCGCACACCCGCGCCGCACACCCGCACACCCGCACCGCCCGCCGTACCCGCTTGCGCCCCTCGCCCTGCCCCCGCCCGACCCCGCCCGCAGCC